GTAAATGTTGGTTTATTTACCATCAGAACTGACGTTGCTGTTCTATTATAAGTCATTTGAGTTGATATACTGTAGATGGAATTCGGACGCAGATTTTTATCTTATTAATTCTGAAAGCTTGTTATAGGAAACTGACTACCCACAATTAAGTTGTCACTCATGATTTGTTTAATTTATGTAAATAAATGATCACATAATTGTTTATGGATCAAATTGAACTCATCTGAGTGTTCCACTTATTGTGTCATTTTCACTTCGCACAGTCAAGATATTAATGAAGAATAAGAACTTCCTTGGTAAATATTTCCTCATAACCTTGTGTATGAGAGACGTGGGAAAGGCTTACAGTATATTCCACTAAGTCAGATCCTTACACTTGTTAGCCTGCTAGCCGTGGTAGTCGGCTCTCAGGAGGTGGGTATCACAGGTTCAGCCCTCATTTGGTTCAAGTCCTACCTGACAGACAGACAGACATTACTGTGTTAACATCAAGGACTTCATGTCCTCATCAGCACCACTTCAATGGGGAGTACCACAGGGCTCTATCCTGGGACCCCTTCTTTTTTCCTTATACCTACTGCCACTAGGTGCAATTTTCCGTAAACATGGCTTAGCATTTCATCTTTATGCGGACAACTGTCAAATTTACTTTCCTCTGAAACAGGCTGGCCCACACTGCATCCAACCTCTTCTTGACTGCCTGGCTGACATCAGGGATTGGRTGGCTTTAAACTTCCTAAACTTTAATGAGAAGAAAACAGAAGTCATTCTGTTTCCAACCAACACACAAACAATTACACTTGCATTAACCTTTCCACTCTGGCCCCGTTCGAAAAACAACTTGTCACCAACCTCTGTGTAAAAATGGATCCATATTTGAAATTAAACAGTCATGTAAACKCCATTGTTAAATCCTGCTTTTTTCAGCTGAGGACACTTTCCAAGTTAAAACCCATCCTGTCAAAAAGAAATCTGGAGACAGTATTCATGCGTTCATTGCATCCAGGCTGGATAACTGTAATGCTCTGCTATATGGAATCAGCCAGTCTTCCATTGCTCGTTTACAAATGGTTCAGAATGCAGCAGCCCGATTTCTAACTGGCACAAGTAAAAGAACATATTACTCCTGTTCTAGCATTTCTTCACTGGCTTCCGGTTCATTTCAGACTTCACTTTAAGATCCTCCTGTATGTCTTTAAAGTGTACCTTGCCCCCTGTGAAAAGATAACTCCGCCCCAAGGCGAAATTTGAAAAATGCATCAAAGAGGGTAGGGGAGGGGGTGTGGATGGGGGAGGGGATGTTAGAGAGCGGAGGTGTGGCCAGGACGAGAGAACTTGACAGCCTCGGCTGAGCTGTCCGCCTCACANCCTGCTGTATAAAAAATTCCTTCACATCTCCCAAGCCTAATGTCTTCTCCTTAAACATTTAAAAAAGGAAACTAAACCCAACACACATTCAGTAAATAAAGGATGACACAGTTTTGTGTGAGTAACTAATAGCTCAATCCAAGTAGTTCAAGCAGGTGTAAAAAACCTCAGACATGTGAGTTATTCTTGATGATAACAGATGAAAGGTGATGGCTGCATGTGAACTTGTGTTCATGTGTACAACTKGTTCCTGCATCTGCGTATGTTTATCAAAGCTGACATACAAGAGGCTTCTTATCTGAAGGGCTTGATGGTGCCATTAAAGTGGCTGCACAGGGCAGAGTTRAACCCCATTAGTGATGCTTTAGCCTCTACAATGTGGACTCCTGTCCCAGCGGTGTAGCCTGTCAGTGTGAGACAGATTRTCCCACCATACTGCCACTCTGCATCTCACAGTTCCACCAGACTTCCCGGTGTGTTTGTAGTAGAAAAGGAAGGTTAAACTCATACAGTCTCTCCTGATTTTCTTCCTAGATTTTAATTTAGCTGTATTTACTTCTGTTGGAGAAGTGTTGCATTATTTCAACTTTCATTTGAATTACAAAAAAAAGTAAGACCAGTGTTAATACACTTTTTATAAAATTGCTAAAAATAAACAGCTGTGAGCCGTGAACAAAATTATACCAAAAATTAACAAGCAAAGCCCAGAATCATAATTTTAGTTGCTAAGGTAAACAGTTGTTGCTATGTAACGTCAAAGACGTCAAACAATCTGACTTCTTATTATGCGCGCCTATGATACTGAATCGGATTTCGCTATGAAACTAAAGATAAAAACCATCCAGCCGTACAGACATGAACACAGAGTGGAGAAAGCAACTAACCAGAGTGTCTCTCCGGTTTCGGACCGAGCAGTTAAAACGGGCTGAAGACGCTGCGCTGCTGGTTCTAAAATTTTATTTATCCATCTGCCCACCCGCAGCACTCCGTGTCATAGTGAAGCATATAAACAACAGTGATAGCTGGAAAAAAATTTTTTTCCACTCAATGTCGAATCATTGTTGTTGAGTGAATGGTCGAAGGAGGAGAAGCTTTTTTATTTATTAATTTTTTTCACGTTGACGGGGGAGCCGGCGTAAGAATGAGTAACACCGCTTGCGCATTCAGGTGGTCTAAGATCAGACCAGCTGATCATCAAAGCTGTTCGTCTTTTTAATTTAACTGTGAATGGATCATTTCAGCTAAATAATGTACAGAAAGAAGCACAGCTCGTACACTGTTTAACCCTAACCCGGAGCTGTTTCACATGAAGAGAAGCTAGCTTGTGTAGGGGTCACCTTGAGTGAAGAAACAAGATTTTCTGCCTCTAAGCAGGCCTCGGACAGGCCTGAGAAGAAGACAGGAACTCTTGTCACAAACTAAATTTTATTTAGGCCATGACAGGTCATTCTAACCGTGGAAGAGAGCCACTCAGTTTTCTTAATCAGATAATGGAAAGAACAATCTCCTCTGTTCGCTATTCATTTGTCATTTAACTAAGAATGTTTATGCATTTGTTAAATCATGATAATGCCTGTCACAGGAAAAGTAGAACARCTTCTTTTCTCTTATCGTGCCTTAAAGATTTATAATGGTAAAAAAAAATNGATATAGACAGAGATATGACTCCTCACCTCTCCACAACCTCTCACAATCACATACTTCATCTACTCCAAAGCGCTCTTTGGTTCTCAGCCTCTTGACCAGCAGCCATCAGCTTCTCCTGACATACCACTATCTGGGTTCCTGTCACCGTTTGTCCTTCTACACTCACTTATACAAGGTGCCATTGTGATAATCTAGGGTGGTGGGTAAAACTAGTTAGGCAATTGAGAAAGTTTGGGTTAAATGCTAGGACTACCAATTCAATTCAATTAAATATATTAAAATAATCCACTGGTTTATTCAAATATTAAAAAAGCAGAAAAGACAAGAGGTTTCTTACTATTGCCAAATGTCTTTATTCAGAACCTGTGCATTATATGTCTCCATGAACAGCAAATGACTTTGGAAAAAAAATATTCATCTCCGTCTTCTACCACTTATCTATAGTCAGGGCGTGGAGACAAAAGGTCCAGGAGTGAAATCCAGACATCCCCCTCTCCAGCAACACACTCCAGCATAGGCATAATTTGTGGTGGGGGTTATGACCCCCACAATAA